GATATTTATCTAGACGGGAATAAATGGGATTTTGATATTTTATACTTTTGCGTGATGAGGAGTCATAATGGAGTTTATTTCGAATCAGGTGGAAGAATGAAATGAAGTAAATAGTGTAGATTTTGGATAAGGAATATGTTTATTGTGCGAGGCGTATTTTTAGTTGAAGCATTATGATGTTGTTCTGGATCAAAGTGGACGTTTTCGCTCTATGGGAAACGAAAAGAATGATGTTTTGTATGAATCTTTCAACGATTTAATTGTTCAATGTGAATACTTACTGCGTTTATAATCGTGGCGACGCATTGATATGTGCGGACGTTTTCGTCGTATGAAGCCAGTTTTAGCTTTTGTATTGTTTCGATTTCCAACGATCAATTTCACTTGGGTAAGATTGGAGTCTGTGTAAGTGTTTTTATAGGTTTCATGTATATCATGTGGGAGATGTCTTAATCTGTTCTCGTATGTATAGTGTAGAAATAGGCATCGCTGAAATTTGGTCACTTTGTGTGTTTTCGTGTTCATATCCTCTTTCGAATATGTGACTTGTTCAAACTTTTCATAATCGGTATCATGAAGTTGAGACAATGTTATATCCGAAGCTACTTGTGATTGCCTATGTGTGGATTTCTGCGTAATTTCATCATGTATGGCAACAAATTGAGCCGCGTGTTTGATCATCGGTAAAACTGAAGAATATAAATCGTATAAATTGAATCGATCGAAGAATCTATGAAATTCTTCGTTGATATATTTTGATGGATAACTATAGATACATAAGAAGTAAAAATACCTTGCGTGATTGCAGAATATCTATTTACATCGGTTAGCTTACCCATTATACAATAACATTAATCGTATGTTGCGCCGTTCAATGTTAAATGCTTCGAATGTTGATGAATATCGTATAGCACGTGTAAGAGTAGCTTGAATAATGTTTCGAAATATATGTCGTGGATGATCAGAGGCAAACGGTACCACATAAGGTTCAGCAGCTGGTTTATGATAGACAGATGTTGAAAGAATACCATTATTATTTGTAAGAAGCACATCAAGGAATGGAAGACTTTGAGCAATTTTATATTCTAGTTTAATATTTGGATGATGCTCATTGAGTTTTTTCAATAATTCTTCAAGTTGCTCTTGCGAACCATTCCATGTAAAGAACACATCATCGATGTATCTAGAATTATCAAAAACATATCAGATATAGAAAATTTTTGAAAATATTAGACCGGCCATAGATTTCATGTGTTGGTAATTCTTTACAAATTGATTCTTTTTCCCATTTCCACATAAAAATATTTGCTAAAGTCAATGTAAACGGTGATCCCATCGCTCCACCAATAATTTGTTGATAGTATTTGTTACGATAGATGAAAACATTTTCTTCGATAACAATACGAGCCAATTCACGAATAGTCTCAGTATCCATTCGTCTCACGTGTGTTATTTCATAAGTTTGAAGAAATTCTACGAGAATATCAAGTGACTTTTGTTGTGGTAGCATTGTATACAAATTATTAATATCAAAAGTACAAAATAAAGTAGTTGGTTTTAAATGGCCATCGTTAGCATATTGTTGAAGCCGTTGAATGAGTTGAGTACCATCAATAATAGTAGTATCTTTGACTTTGTCGTTGAATATTGGTCGAATTAAACGATCTAGGAGACGTGAAATATTTGTTGTCGGTGAATCAATAGTATTCATGATCGGCCGGAACGGTGTACCATCCTATTTATTTAATAAACAGATTTTGTTCTTGATTAAAATATGGATAGATAAATCGGTTCTTTAACTACCTTATGTGTTTTGGGATTAAAATAAATGTAAGCTAACTTGCATTTCTTTAAATTGGGCCACATTTGATTATATTGCCAAGCTGTAAGTTTTTTCGCTTTCATATGAAGATGATTAAGTAATCGAATAACTTTATTTAATATTGATTCAAAAGGGTTCGATGTTAATTCTTTATAAGCCTTTGTTTTGTCTCGATATTCCTTGGCTTTTTGTTCGTGATCGTG